GGTTTCTGATGACCTTCCTCAAGAAGTACAGCCAGAGCGCTGTTGGCCTGACCTTCCTCGTAGGAGCGATTCTCGTTCAGGTGGCTTTAATCTGCGAGGGCTTAATGAACGTGAAATTAGGCAAGAGAGCTTATATCTCATTAGGAAGGTCAGTGTCTACTTTGGTTTATATTAAGAACTTGGGGAGTGGAGATGAAGTAGATTAGTAGTAAAGTCGAGGCAAAGTGAATAGATAATATTTTAGATTAATCTTATTTTGCGAAAGCAAGGAAAGAGGTGAAGTGTTTTAATTAAGATAAAAAAAAATGAAAAAAATCTTTAATGAAAGTAATTTTAATAAAAACATTTCTTCGTCATATACCATTGCGGGGGACTTTTTCAGCCTTCTTAGTGCCGATGTCGCTGTCGCTACGCCGCTTATCTCTATGGGGGCAGTCCTAGGTAAAGTTACCTACATGCAGCTGATATTCATGGGGATAGTGGAGCTGATCATGTTCACTATTAATAAGTATGTAGGCGAAACTATGTTCATGGTGAGTACTGACTACCATTCCTGATTTCGCAAAATCGCAATCAGAGGAGTTCGATCGCAAGTTCCCGCAATAAGCGGGAAAGCAAAATTTATTAATTATTAATTAGACATAGGAAAGAGAGGAAAAAAAAGAGATTAATTCATTTTAAACATTGAAAGTAAAAATCCTATATTCGGAGTATATATTTCTTTTCATTTCATTCACAATTATTGTACATTACGATGTACAATTAAAATTAAGATAGAACATTTCAAAATTTTTATACACATATACAATTGTTTTAATTAATGTATTAATTTTCTATTTTCCAAAGATTCCAATAATTATTCCTTATTTTTTCCATCGTCGATGTGATTCGTCGAAAAACTTCAAAACAGCAACAACGCTATAATCATTTGACAGAATATCGATCATAACTAACTTCTAAGTAAACTTCTAAGTAAAGTAACTCCTTCCCTAAAGGCGGAAAAGTGAAAATTTTTTTTCCATTCTTTTTTCAATAATAAACATTTTCACTTTTCCGCTCACTAGGGGAAAAGTTACGTGATCGACCTGGCCTCGACCTGGATAGACATTTCTGTGAAGATAAATTGTAAATAAACTTTCGTTCATCCTTCACCTAGGCCGTTGATGCTGGTGACAGTATGTTTGTTCATGTATTTGGCGCATACTTCGGATTGGCGATTAGCTTTGTATTCGGAACGAAGGAGAAGCCGAAGGAGCACGCTCTCGAAATGTCGTCCTATCAGTCAGACGTTTTCGCCATGATCGGTATGCATACCGATAATTATATTTACCTGATTATATCGTTCAATCCTGTACCTCAATCCTGTTCCTTCCTTCGTTTTACCTCGTCGGATTTTCTAAAGTGTTAAACACACAACAACGCTAAAATAGTGGGGGATAGCGAGATGAATTGATTGATCGCCACCTTCAGGTACAGTGTTCTTGTGGCTATTCTGGCCATCATTTAACAGCGCTGGGTTGACGGGGGATGATCAACAGCGAGCCATAATCAACACCCTGTTATCAATATCCGCGAGTTGCGTGATCACGTTCGCCGTATCCGCACTGGTCTCGGAAGACAACAAATTCAACATGGTACACGTGCAAAACTCAACCCTGGCTGGAGGTGTAGCCATTGGCACAGCTGCAGGTATGCCGGTCGATTATTGACTTGATACATGATGCGGATTCTAGATTTGTAAATATTAATACAAATACGTACGCATGCGTAGAGTTTTCATACAGCGTAAAAAAAAAAATAGTATGTAACATTACGATCACTTTTCGCAGTGATGTGTCGCGTCATTATAAATATATTGCATCACGCAACGAAATAAAATCGATCGCTATAAAATACTTCGGTTCGAGAAATATGTGATATTTTATTAGCATATTATTTTATTGAAGATTAAGATCTTTTACTAATTCGGATACTTTTTTCTATAGGTATGATGTGCCAACCAGTGGGTGCTCTGATCGTCGGTGCTATATCTGGGATAATTAGTGTGCTGGGATATAAGTATCTCACGGTAATAATGAAGATTATTGTGCAATTATGATAATTATTATTATTATTGAATATT